AGATACTTTTCAAGATATTTTTATTAAACTTCATATCTGATACACATTGCTAGAGCATCACATTTTTTTTTACTTTGAAATCTCTTTGACCTTGACCTCAGTTTTCTTAAATTTTGATTTTGCTCAGTTTCATAGAATCTTTTCAAGGTTTTTATTTGTACGTTTATGCATTGATATATAATTTGGGAAGAGATTAACAACTGTGTCCATTTTTTTTACCTGAATCTCCCAATGAGCTATGACGTTATTATTTGTTGTGTATTTAACCCTGTTTTAGAGAAACTATTCAATATATTTTCATCAAACTTCATACACTAATACAAACTTTCATGCTGCATTGGTAATTGACCCAAGATGGTTGGCATTCATGTCCTATGGACATATTTTTAGTTCTATTATATGATTTATTAAAGGGGAATTAATTAAACATAATAAATAAATAAAAATAAATGAAAGGCCTCCAATTGTCAAATAATTTCTGAAGATAATATCCCTGTGAATAGGGTAAATCCAGATATGTCTACATCATTATCCTTTGGACTAAGTAGAGATACATTACAAGGGATTTAAGTTCTAAGACAAATAAAATCATCTGTTATAATGTTTTTGTATGGCAAATTGAAAAGTATATAAATAATGCCATGAATTTGTTTTGACAGATTCTATATGATGTGAAGTGGAGCTCGGAAAAAAAGAGGATTTCAACACTGTACAGGTTTAGTAATTCCTTTATATCAGTTAGGATATAATTTAGACACACTTTCATACACCGCTGTGAATATGGCATATATTGTTTGTCTTATTATCCGCTACATATAAAGTTTTATGGAATATATAGGAATCACCTTGTCAGTCTTCTCTGCAATCAAATCCAGACTATATTTTTGTAACAGACAATCATTGGAAGCTCATGCTTGAAACAAAGATGTTTATGACCTGAGGATGTGTCATGACCTTGACCCAAGGGCCAGCGAGTCAGATGATCACTGGCAGAAGTATAAAATTCATGTCAAGTCTACAATTTTTGTACGGAGAAATATATAGAAAATGCCCTTTCGGTTCAACTAGGGTATACGGAAAAGAAGATCCGTAAAACCGATTAGCATCTTTCAAATTTAAAATAAGGAAAGAAATAGTTCCTTTAAAAAAAAAATTGAGTGTTTTCCTTGTTACGTCAAATAAATGCGTTTAAAAAATAGTTCACAAGAAGAGTTCTTCTAGAAATGGTTGACAACTTGACACTTAACCTGTATTGTTATCACAAAGGTCGACAGGTCGACGGTTGACACCTAATTGGTAAACTCTTATCCCTCAAAGAAAAGGTCGACAGGTCAACATCAAATTGCTAAATCTTATACATCACAACAAAGGTCGACAGGTCGAGAGTTGACACCTAATTGGGAAAGCATTTTCTAAAACCCTCCCGAGAGATTAGGGTTACTCATAGAATCCGTCGGAAAGATTAGGGTTAGTCCTCGGACCGACCTGAGAGATTAGGGTTAGTCCTCAAACCCAAGCGACAGATTAGGGTTAGTGCAGGAATCCACTGGAGATAATAATACGTCGACCTGTCGACCTGTCAACCCGTTGACTCGTTTACCTGTCGGCCTGTCAATTTGTCGACCTGTCAACCCGTCGACTCGTCCACCTGTCGACCTGTCAACCTGTCGACCTGTCAACCCGTCGACTTGTCTTCCTGAACACATTTAGTCCTGTCAAGCAAACAATTTGTTGACCTGTCAATCCGTCGACCTGTCAACCTGTCGACTCGTCTACCTGTCGACCTGTCAACCAACGTTTTGTCAACCCGTCGACCTGTCAACCTGTTATCCCGTCGACTTGTTAACCTATCCACCTGTTTACATGTCCACAATTTTACCAAAAAGTTCCTACGCTACATAGAATTTCTCCAAATTTCCTCATATTCTTTAGCAATGCACATTAATTCTTCAGCCTTTAGCGTATGAAAATGTATACCGGTTCTACTTATCCATATATATCCTAGTTGTATTCATACCTCATACAAAGACTGTTCATGACGGGAAGGTTTGTCATGACCTTTACCCAAGGTCATTAAATCAAATTCAAGGTCACCTATAGAAAAATCTTTAATTTCTGTCGTGGAGAAAATTTAAACACTCATCATAAAAAATGCATATGGCCTAAAGTATGCATTGACTTTGATCCAAGTTCATTCTAGCAAGTTCAAAGTCACAGGCAGAAAAAAGTATATAACTAGTCTTGGGTCAAATGGAGTTTAATTGGAAGTTGATCATGACACTTGACACAAAGAAGGTTAATTTGACAATTCAAGGTCACTGGCAGATTAATGATAAATTTGCATACAGTGTAAAACATTCTAATGGAAAAACTTTAGAAATTTATACTTAACAGAAATATTACCTGAAAGTGTGCCATGACCTTGAACCTAGATTCACTCTAGCAAGTTTAAGGTCACTGATAGAAAAAGTATATAATTTTTGTCCAATTCATTGCTCTTTAATGGATGAGTATTGGAACTTGAACCTTCAAAAAGATGGTTTGTGAGCTGAAGGTATGTCATTACTTTGACCCAAGATCAATATGGCAGGTTCAAGGTCACTGCCAGAAAAAGTATAAAATTCAAGTCAGGTCCATAGTATTCAAATGGAGAAACATTGGTTGTCCAACTGTCATTATAATCACAGAAAGTGTTCGTTATAATTTTTTTTAAAACCGAGGTCATATGGCAAGTTAAAGGTGACATTTAGAAAATTGCATATGGGCATATTGAAAAAAAAATTAAAGGGGGATGGGGAGGAGGTGTTATTTTGTGAGATTACCTCTTGTGTTCCCATTCATCTATATTAGTCCTTTACACTTTGAAATAAGCTCAGTTTCAACATGTTCAAACAAACTTTATATAATTCTTTTTTTCCAAAATCATATACAGACTGTACATATCGGTGAGATCCATTGACCTGTGTCATAATTTTCTGACCTTGACCTGCCCTTTTACTTTGACCTTGGTAAGCATTATCAAAACATACTCAATATTAACATTATTTGTATCTCTACATCTACACCTATGTATATTATGGTTAATGTTCTGTATTTGTTTTGACAGATTTCTTTGGATGTGCTGTGCAGTTGTTAAGAGGACAAAAAAAATCATCACCTTACAGGTTTCATATTTCTTTAACAACTATGCAGGATAAAAGTAAATACATGTACATGCAGTAATTTGTAGACATGTTTTGTTTAGAATGGCTTAAAACACAAACATTCAAGGTTAAAGTCATCATTTGAATTTAGTTATTTTAAAATGTAGATAATATTTTGTCAGTTAATAATTTAAGGTAAATGAGATATATAAGTTTAGTTTTATAAGAATGACAAATTATATGTCCTTTGTTTTCTCTATCCAGAAACAGAAACAAGACAAATGGAAAACCATGCAGCTGTAACCAAATACCAAAATCAGTGTGGTAAACATTTCTCTGTTACTTTATACAAGTATTACTGTGTCATAGCACACTGTAGATAAGTTACCAAATACAAGAAGTCAGTATGGTAAACATTTCTCTGTTACTTTGTATAACTGGCACAGTCTGTAGATCATATCTGTTTAAAGAGTTTGTTATATCAGAAAATTTATATTTAATACTGATCTATGAATTTATATCTGTAAGGTTTATCATCATTATAATTATTTTGTACATTATAAAGTTGACTCACTGGACTGTAAATACACGGTAGATGAATGTAATGTTTCAAATGATTTTATATTTATCATTATAAGAATCTATAAAGTCTTCCAGCATCTCACAATTTATATAAGTTTTAATTTGTAAATATTGCTTTGTTAGACAGGTTAATATATGTTTGAATTTGTTAATATTGCTTTGTTAGACAGGTTTATATATGTTTTAATTTGTAAAAACTGCTTTGTTAGACAGGTTTATATATGTTTTAATTTGTAAAAATTGCTTTGTTAGACAGATTTATGTGTATTAATTTGTAAATATTGCTTTGTTAGACAGGTTTATTTTATTTTTTTTTTTTTTTGGTAAATATTGCTTTGTTAGGCAGGTTTATATATGTTTTAATTTGAAAATATTGCTTTGTTAGACAGGTTTATTATTATTATTATTATTTTTTTTTTGGTAAATATTGCTTTGTTAGGCAGGTTTATATATGTTTTAATTTGTAAATATTGCTTTGTTAGACAGGTTTATGTAATGTTTATATATGTTTTAATTTGTAAATATTGCTTTGTTAGACAGGTTTATATATGTTTTAATTTGAAAAATATTGCTTTATAAGACAGGTTTATATATGTTTTAATTTGTAAATATTGCTTTGTTAGACAGGTTTATGTATGTTTTAAATTGTAAATATTGCTTTGTTAGGCAGGTTTATGTATGTTTTAATTTGTAAATATTGCTTTGTTAGACAGGTTTATATATGTTTTAATTTGTAAATATTGCTTTGTTAGACAGGTTTATGTAATATTTATATATGTTTTAATTTGTAAATATTTTGCTTTGTTAGACAGGTTTATATATGTTTTAATTTGTAAATATTGCTTTGTTAGACAGGTTTATGTGTGTTTTAATTTGTAAATATTGCTCTGTTAGACAGGTTTATGTATATTAATTTGTAAATATTGCTCTGTTAGACAGGTTTATGTATATTAACTTGTAAACATTGCTTTGTTAGACAGGTTTGATTGAGAACACTTGGAGGCTGCTATTCATTAAGACTATTAAGAGTATTAAGCATTCAGCACCCAGCGTTAAGGTATTTATGTTTATCTGTTAATTCTATTAAAATCTAAAAGTTCTTAAAACCAAGGCATTGGTATATATGAGTATATCCTAAATATAGCTCTGTTATTGTTGTAGATAATTATAGAACAATGTTGTTATTTACAGAGAAATCTCCCTGACTGAGGAAATCTACACGGGATTCTGTTATAAAACCACAGGATAAAGATGAAATAAGTGTCTGCTGTAAATATGTATAGATTAGTGTTACAGAAATCTGTCACAGTGAAAGGTGTTAGGGAGTGTCGTCACATTTCCCGTGTATCGTCAGACCGGGTCTGGATCAGTGATGCTTATAACAATCTCATCTTGACAAACACAGCAGGTGATAAACTACATCATCTGACAGGTATATCTACTCTTTATGGAGTACACACTGTGAACAGAAATGGTGATTTAATTTATATAGACAGGGAGTATAACATCAACAAACTGTCTATAGATCACAAAGTAAAGACTACATTTATAAAGTATAACACAGCACTATGGTATCCACTGTCTGTCTACAGCTCCCATTCCACTGGAGACCTGCTGGTCGGGATGTATAGACGTGATACAGATACAGCCAAGTTAGTGCGGTATAACTCCACAGGAGAACACATCCAGACCATACAGTATGACAACGAAGGTCAGGGACTGTATAGTGTACCTATCTACATCACAGAGAACCGTACTGGAGATGTTATTGTGTCTGACTGGCCCTGTGTAGTGGTGACAGATTGTGGAGGAAGTCATCGCTTCTCCTACACAGGACCTCCACCAGGATCAGGACTAACACCACGTGGAATCTGTACTGACGCGCTGTCACACATCCTGGTGTGTGATGCTAACACCTACACAGTACAGATGATTGACAAGGACGGACAATTCCTATCACATATACAGACATCACACAGGAAAGACAGACCACGGGGCCTAAGTTATGATGATAGAACTCAGCTTCTCTGGATCGCAACAGCGAACAACAAAGTGAACCTATACAGACTTGTATACAGCGACCCCCAGAGCGGTAAGTAATACAAAAGTAAGATTATGTGTTTTGTTTTACAATGGTTTGTGTGTACAATTTAATAATTACAATTACATAATTATTGGGGAGGTCATTAATGAATAATTGTATTCATTGTTTACAGTGCTTTACAGTTTATGTTTAATTAAATTATAATTTGTGACGTTTAGTAACAAGAAACATTTCTAAGATGAGGACATATCAAGGATTGTAAATTGTAGTTTGAATATATTTTTTGTAAAAACTGGGTTTGTTCGTTAATTAATTAGTAAGATTACTTTTAAGGACATCAGCAAGACAGTTTTCTGAAGAATAAAAGATTTAATACATAGTTTCGTTTTAACTTATACATGTAAATCAATCATTGAGAGTTAATTTGATCTCCTATTTAGCAGTGAAAACCAATAATAAAGGGTAGGTTACTGACGTTTACAAATATTCCTTCAACAGGTAGACTCGTCTCTATCAGGTCTGTAGCTAGAAAGGCTTTGTTGAACGCTATGTTTAGGGGACAGAGAGTTAACACACTCTTATTGACCATAGCTACGCTGGGGAGGTCAAAGGGAGAGAACTCCAAAATAAAGAACAATGCAGAAATGTCTGTGTCTTCCATTTTCAGCCAAAATTTTAATTTGAAATCCCATTTGATGATAGGAAATGAGAATACAATTACGTATATATAATACATATTATACTATTGTTACCCTTATATCTTATATAATATAAGATATAAGGGTTTGGAGAAATTTTATGGTTAAGATTTAAAAAATTCTTTTTTATTAACATTTTCCTAGAAAATGTATTGACAATTGTAAAAATATTGATTTGACAAAATTTAAAAAAGTTTTTGGAGCAGCTTCATTCTAAAGTAACTATACGGCCTAAAATGACCAAACTTGCATAAATGATACATCTAAAGATGCACACTTCTGGACTTGCTTCGGATGCAGAGTCGTACCTACATTTTCCAGATGAGGGACTAGGTTATGTTTTCTGGAGCAAGTTCATTCTAAAGTGACCAATTGCCGTACCTTGACCAAACTTGCATGGATGATACATCTAAGGATGAACGCTACTTGACTTGCTTCGGATGCTGGATTTGACCTACATTTTCCAGATGAGTGATCAGGTCCATTACCAAGAAACTATAAGGCCTATCTGAACCAAACTTGCATCAATGATGCATCAAGGGATGAACACAGATAAACTTGCTTCAGATGCTTGATTTGCATTATTCTGGATGAGTTACTTGTTTGAGGTTTTTGGATAAGTCCATTCCCAAACAACTGCAAGCCCTATCAGATCAAAATTGCATACATGTTGCATCTTCGGATGTACAATACTAGACTATTAGTTTAATGTGGGACTTTGCCTTACTTAAGTCAACATTCGTTGAAGTTATCTCTGTACATTAATCTCTGGTTACCTATATTTAACCTGGAACTCGTGTCGCCCATGTGGCGCGATGGTTAGAGCGTCTGCTCTAGAGTCACAGTTGAAGGATCCTTACCTTGCGGGTTCAAATCCCCTGCGGGATATGGAGACCGGTCCTTCGGATGAGACGATATAAACCAAGGTCCCTTGTTGCAGTAGGTGCTGGCAAGAAAAAGATCCCTCACTTCTATTCGAGTATAGGAATAAATAAGAATAAATTTGCAGCCCTTCATCAGCAAGTGGTGGCTCCTTCATATGAGTGAAAAATTCTCGAGAGGGAAACAAGACAAACAAATAAAAAACCTAGTACTCAGGTGTATTTTGCGCTGAAATGTAAACCAGCTAAATCCAGTATATATATTCTTAATTTTTTTATTTGTTAAATGAAAGAAAAAGTCATTCATGTGTCTGTGGAATATTTGAAAAACATGCATGATTGTATCTATTTTTTAAGATCCAAGCAGTGATGATTTTGATAAAGTTGATGAGTTGAAGAAATTCCTGAGGAAGGAGAAGACAACTGTTTCCCATGCCAGAGGAATACTTGTTGGATGTGCCGAGGCTGGAAAAACAACACTACTGAAGCGATTGAAAGTGCAAAGTCAAAATGTTGGTGAAGTAACAGAGTCAACCTGGGAACTAACAAAACTGCTGAAGCGATTAAGATGGAAACGTCAAAATGTCAGTGAAGTTACAGAGTCCACCAGGGGACTTGAAGTTCATCAACATCTCTTCATTGTTAAAGATGGAAATTTAGAAGGTAAAAATAATTTCTGATACTTATTCATAGGACAAATGAACAAAATTTCTCTCCTATTCATCAGATTCTTCATTAAAGTATATCTTATTTTTGAAAAGGATTTAAATTATTAACATACTTTGAAAATAAGGTAGACAAAACAAGATGAAATATGAAGATAACGAACAGTATTCAATCTCGAAAGTTCCAATGAAACGATACAAATTTGTAGCAGAGCAAACACGGACCTCAAAATTTAGAGGTGGGATCAGGTGCTATGGAGGAGTGAACATCCCCTGCCGACCGGTCACACACTCCATGTGCTCCTTGTCATGTTCGAAAAAAAAAAACGGAAAAAACTGTAGACAGTTCAGTGTATAAATAAAGGCCATACAATTAGTATGAAGAACGTCAGTCAGCATTTGACTCAGTGATAGGTTGCATGTGCTTACAAGGTCATTGTATCGACCATAAAACTTTCGAAAAGATTACTTCAAACGAGACTGTTGATATCCTTGTTTCATCAACTTATTTGTCTATTTTTTGCCTGGTTTTAGAAATAGATACTTCTCTGTTACATGTGCAAACAATAGTGAAATCTCTGAACTGGTCCCAAGGCTGCAATATTGGAGCTAAAAGAAGAGTATATTGAAAAAATACTTTGTCACGCTTCAAGGGGTCAAACCAACTGACAATTGGATTAAATCTTTCAAGAAGTATAAGGCGTGAAAGGAATCACAGTACATTTAAACACGCTTATAATGAAGTGCAAGGGACCGACGATTTAGCTTTTTGTAAGCGTAATACAGAGGATATTTTATGAAAAATTGCAGTTGGATATGAAATTCATTTAACGAGTGGCATAGGATTTTTTTATATATATTTTCACGAGGGCGAAACATGAGTGAAAATATAAAAAAAAAGCCTGTCTCTCGAGTGAAATAAATTCATATGCAACTACAAAATATTGAATTTTCAGTTTACTACATTTTCTTTGATGTTCCCTTTGCTTCTGTCTTGTGGTAACTCAGAGTCATACGTTTTGACGTCGTCAAAGTTGAGCGGTCGAGACGTCAATCTTAGCGATTATAAGATTGAAAACATTGTAAACATGGGATTTCAGTGTAATGCAATTTGGTTTCTATAGTAACAAGAAAGATGTAGATCAATATTTAAAATACAGTAAATTTAATAATTATGATTTGATTCTAATCAAAGTTTTATATTAATGTACCACTGGCTGTCTGGTTCTTATGTGAAATATACGTACTTAAGGACAGACGATACGTTGATGAATATATATTTTTTCCAAGATTTTGTCATTGAAGTATGAGTACATTAACATATTTCTTCACAAAAAATTCACGTACCTTTATTACCAGGCATTTGTGCAATATACCAGATGATGGTGTTTCCTTTATACTTTTAGAAATAACTTAAATTGTCAATATAAAAAGTTAAGCGTTTTGTATTTTAAGACAATTAGAAACCAGTTTAAAAATCATAAGGTAATTATTTGAAATATTTTTCATACATAAAAAGATATAAAAAAAAACAGATATCCGAGGAGCGTATTGTCTGACCTTAATATATAAAATGATGAGTGACATTAATTAACCAAAATAGATAAATATAGCTTGTTTTCATTATAAATTAGGCTTCATGATGTATTAATGAATACAGATACAAGATTGATACAATCAGTAGAATATTTGCATCCAATCCTTTAATTTGGTAAAAGAGATATATAGTCACTATATGATGTTTTTAATAAGGAAATCATTTACCTAATAATAAAAGTTCTTATTAACAGTAGCTGCTGATGACTCGCCCTTGAAGACATTTATCAGGATAAACGCTGCAGATTTGAAACCAAACGTGAGCAGTGCAGATGACTTTTCCAACTCAAATGAAAATATAGAAAATATAGAAGACAGTTTGGAAGTGATAAGTTCTGATACAAATACTGAAGTAATTTATAGCAGAGAAGAAAAGAAAGAAAGGAATGTTGAGTTGTCTAGTTCTCCAACTGAAGGCAAAGGAGAAGAGAATACAGTAGAGACAATGGCCAGTGTTCTCTCCTCAGAAGCACAAGCAATGGTAAAGGATGAAATTTTTCAGAAAATCTTGTCTGAAAAAGAGAATATACCAACTGTTAGCATGCTGGATTTTGCTGGGCAGTTAGCATATTATGCCTGTCACCAAATTTACGTAACACCAAAGGCCTTCTTCATCCTCGTGTTGGACATGACTAAGAGGTTTGAAGATGTTGTCAGTAAAGAGAAAGATAATCAAGAAGGATCAATTTTCTCTGTGTGGACTTACAAAGGTAAGGCATGATGTTGTGATATCAAGTTTATGTAATAATTACTTTCTTACTTAGGCCTGTCTTTCCTTAAGGAGCATAGGCTATCGACGACAGACCTCCAACGAACAAGTTTTGGACTGCTTATGCTGCTTTGTGCTAGTTCATGTCCTATGCCTTTAGTTCTGCCTCTAAGTCACGCCTCCAGGCTAACAGTGGTTGTGCAAAAGGAGAGCCAGATCATCGGAAAAGTTGGGGTTGTCTAGTTGCTTCAGAAGTGCGCACTGTATACCATTGTTTCTGCCTGATGTGGTAGTTGTTCATGATCCAGTCAATGACCAAGAGGAAAGGGAATGGTGACAACAAACATCCTTGTCGAACTCCTGTCTTGACCTCGAAACTCTCGAACATCTAGCCTGCATTGTCAACCCTGTATGTCATGCCTTGAATCAGGTATCTTCAACATTTTCTCTCGGTCCAAGCTGTCGAATGCTTTCTTAAAGTCGATGAAGTTGATATGGAGGGGGAACTTCCACTCAAGTGATTGTTCAATGATGATGCGCACACTAACTATCTGGTCAGCACATGTTGTATCTAAAATCAGCCTGCTGGTCACGGAGCTTTGGTCCACTTCTTCTTTCATCCTCTCAAGAAGGATACTGTTGAGCACCTTGCCAGGCACTGGTAGAAGCATAATTCCCCATTTGTTACTGCAGTCCTTCAGATCACCCTTCTCTGGCACATTAACAAGGATTCCCTTTTTTTCATTCCTCCAGAATGTTCTCTTCCTCCCAGATCTTCTTAAAGAGGTTGTACAGGATGTCAAGAGCTCTCTCTGTATCAGCTTTGATGGCTTCTGCTGGTATCTCGTCAGGCCCTGCCGCTTAAGTGAAGTGATTGCTCTTCTGATCTCCGTCTTTGTTGGCTTGTCGCAGTCGATCAGACAGTCTGTATTAGCTATTTGTATGTCTGGAGGTGTTTTGTGACGTTGGTCTATTTAATAGCTCTCCAAAATGTTTTACCCACCTCTTCAATTGTTCCTTGGTTGTTGTGTTAGGATTCCCTTTCTTCTCCTTCACTGGCTTGTCTGTCTGCTGGAACTTGTTGGAGAGGTTCTTTGTGACCATATACAGTTCCCTCAAGTTTCCTGGTTCCATCGCTTCTTCAGCTTGCTTGGTCAGGTTGTCTTTCCTAATGTTTTACTTAACTTCTTTATCAATGGTTGTGTAGTCCTCTTGAGAATTGTGTCTTTGCTGCTCTTGTCTGGCTTGTGTTCAGTGCTGCTTTTTTTTTCTCCTTCCTCACATCCAGTTTCCTCATGGTATCAACAGAAATCAACTCTTTGTGTCAAACCTTTCTTCTGCAAAGCACTTCCTCACATGTTTTTCGCCACATTTCCTTGATGTGCTGCCAGTGGGTCTCGATGTTAGTATCATTTTTTAACTGGTCTTGTAGCAGCTGGAATCTGTTGGACAAGCTGTCTTCCCTTCCTTTGTTTTGAGGACACTCAAGTTGTACCTTGTCCTAGTGTTTATAATGTTGTTAAACTTCTTGAGGAGTAGTCTTAATGCTGTCATTAGAAGATGGTGCTCTGATGTAATGGCTGCTCCTCTCATTACCCTGACATCTTTCCATGCTCTTCGAAATTTTTTGTTGATACATATATGGTCGATCTAATTCTCTATAACATGGTTAGGGGATCTCCATTGTGAAACCGTTTATGAGAGAAGATGCTTCCTCCTATTACAAGCTGCTTAAGGGATCATAGGTCTGAGAATCTTTTGCCATTCTCATTCATGTAGCCCATTCCTTGTGTGTCCATTTTAGCCAGTGTTTTCAGCTTCATTCTCTGCAGTGAAGTCGCCCATGAGTATCGTCATATCTTTCTTCCCTGTTTTATCCAAGACTGCCTGTAGTTGCTGGCGAAAGGTGTCTTTCTTTTCATCATCGGCATCATTGGTAGAGGCATAACACTGGATGATGTTAAGTTTGATCTTGCTTTTCTTGGTGTTGAACTTAGCTGTTCTTATCTGGGAGTTGACAGGTTCCCATCTGATAAGAACACGTGATCTAGGGATAGCATTATGCCTACTTTTAGGGATAGAATTATGCCTTCACCTTCGGTTTGGGGGCTTCTCTGTGGTGTGTCCTGAATACAACAGTGTTTATCCAGTGGTCAACCTAAGCTGTCCTTTCTCTAGCCACCTTGTCCCAGGCCACTCAGTCCTAGAAGACAATAGTGTAGTGCTTCATCTCCTTTGCTAATTGTGCTGTTCTACCTGCTTCATACGTTGTTCTGATGTTACAAGTAGGGAGTCTGATGGTTGCCTTAGTGTCATAAAGGGAGTCAGCCCTGCAGCTTCCTTTCTGCTTTTATTGTGCAGCATCATAGGTCCCCTTGAAGTAGGTCCAATCAGGTTGGTTGGTTTGGTTTTTCATTGATGCTTTCTGTAACTTTGCTTTTTATAGGCAGGGTTGTTGACCCTACACAAACCTTTAATAACCCTGAGGAAAGGTGGTTTAATTTTCCTAGACTGCTTTCCATCCCTGGATATTGAGCAAAGTCCGCCCATTCAGTTTTGTATGTGATTTCCTTCACCTAGCCTTTTCCATTAGTGATATGGCCGCAAAGCAGTGGAGATTTAAAAATCAGAGTTTTCCTTCTCTTAGACGAGCTATCCTCAAAGACTGTTGAGCCCATCTACCCTAAGCACTGGTTTTCAGGCGCCAGGTAACTCTCCTTCACCCGTTCTCCTATCGGTAATAGCAGTTCCGGCGGGCTTTATGAGTACTGTGCAACAATTTATTCGAGAAGTGGTGTAAATCAGATGTGGATACTTAAAAATTCCAAGGAACTTTTGGAAAATTTGAAATCACAAGATTTTACCAAAATCAACAGCTTTAAAACTTACGACTTTTCAACTTTATACACAACCATTCCCTACGATAAATTAAAGTCCAGGCTTTTTGATATCATTGACAGCTGCTTTTTCAATAAAAATGGAACTCGTAAATTGACTTACCTTGTCATTGGTCATTTGCAAAACTATTTTGTTAAAAACCATTCTGATTGTACACACAAGTACTCTGAAGTTGACATAAAAAAGATGCTTGAGTTTCTGATTGACAATATCTATGTAGTTTTTGGAGACCAGGTCTTCCAACAATCTATTGGAATTCCCATGGGTACTAATTGCGCCCCGTTATTAGCAGACCTTTTTTTGTATTCATATGAAGCAGAATTTGTCCAAAATCTTGTACGTGAAAAGAAGAAAAACACTTGCCGTGGCCTTCAACTCGACATTTAGATATATCGACGACGTATTGTCAATTAATAATGGCTATTTCCATTCTTATGTCGATACGATATATCCTTGTGAGCTTGAGATAAAAGATACCACAGAGTCTTACACATCTGTTTCATATTTGGATATTTTACTTGAAAAAGACGTTAATGGTAATCTAACAACCAAGCTTTATGATAAACGTGATGACTTTAACTTTTCAATCGTCAACTTCCCTTACTTATGCAGCAATATACCTTCATCAACTGCATACGGGGTATATATCTCTCAGTTGATTCGATACGCAAGAGCATGCTCTATGTATGTACAATTTCTAAAACGAGGTAAATTATTGACAAACAAGTTGATGAAACAAGAATGTAAGCAGTCTCGTTTAAAGTCATCATTTCGTAAGTTCTATGTCGATACAATAACCTTGTCAGCAAATACAATTTATCATTGAGTCAAATGCTGACTGACGTTTTTCATACAAATTGTTAAGCCATTATTTACACACTGAATTGTCGACGGATTTTTCCGTTATTTCCCGATCATGACAAGTAGCACACGGCGGGTGTGACCGGTCGGCAGGGGATGCTCACTCCTCCATGGCACCTGATCCCACCTCTGATGTTTGGAGGTCCGTGTTTGCTCTGCTCCTATTTTGTATTGTTTCATGGACTTTTGAGCCTGAATACTGTTCGTTATCTTCATATATTTCATGCAAGCCACACGGGCAGGCTAGGAGCTGGACTTGGTTGTCGGAGGCTTTTGGAGGCGCACGCAGTGAGGAGCATTTTATAGACAATGGGAGCTTATCCCCATTGCCACCCCTCAGCTATGACAAGCTTTTGAAGTTTATGTATGGCTCACATTAATGAATATGAGAAAAAAAAGATGTTTCATATTTCACATATGTATTTCTTGGGCCTGCCCGTGGGCAGCATTAATTTTCAGCATTTGACCTTGATGTTTGACTAACTTTTCAAAAACTATAATCGCCATAACCTAAAATGGTTGATACTAGGGCTTTCATATTTCACAGTTATATTGCCTGAGATAAGACCGTTCTCTGGGAAACATTATTCATCTCTTGACCTTGATATTTGGGTTTGACTTTGATTTGAGAAACTTTAACCTTCGAAATAAGCTGCCATACAGGGACATCAGTGTTTCCCAAACTCATCTTGCTTATTATACAAGGAGTGTTTTCATTTAAATTTACTTTAAAATAGAATGTATGAATTTTTTTTACACTTTAGTGTAGTCCATTTTTAATGTCAAGGTAAGGTGTTGCCCTAGTTGTTAGAAGAATGTGTTCAGAATGCAGTCTCTAATAATTTATGCTGATTTCAATAAATTTGTTAAGAGTTTTAAAAACATCAAGATATATTATTCTGTACCTGTAAAACCAAAAATTAAATAAGTTGACTTCCAGGTGCAACTTTGTCTTTCCACTTTTAAGTACAAAGCAGAAGAGCTGCACACTCGTTAGAGACACCTGCCTGTTTATTACCTATATTATAATGCAATATTTGTTTTTTTAGACTACCTGAAGTTTTGGATTATCTTGATCAAGACATTTGGAGGCACTAAGGCACCACTGTTTGTTGTTGTCACACACACAGAAAAAAAATCTACAGATGTAAGTTTTAAGGCTAACACATATCACAAATAGTGTGAATACAAAATATTTTTCTCTCTCTCTCTACCTTAGCTGCAATAATGTAGCCCTCTCCGATTTTTTTTTTTGGAGAGGGCTACAACTCCTTAGGATCTCCGTAATGGTGCAAGTGCGGGAGTGATTCACTACCGCACAGATTTCGGCTCAAATTATCAGTAACTGGGTATTTTATTAACATATCTTACCTGAACTCATAAAATGTAGTTATGCAAGACATGAATTTATCCAAAATTATACAGAACAATCCGTATATCGGTTATTTTTCGTGTATGTCAACATCACAACTTAAATTTATCCGCCATGTTTACTGACCTTGATCGATTTTATTTCGGGACAACCAATGAGAATTCGGGATCTTGGGGGAGCGGATCGTTTAGGATTTCCCTTATTTTAAGCATAAATATCACTGTTTATGAAAAAAAAATATCCCATGGAATGCTTTTATTTATCGATGTTTAGTGATATCATACAACACAAACATTTATCAACACCGACATTTACTTTATCAAGTGATTCTAAATTTCAAGCGCAAGTCTCAGTACATCACGCGAGAACTGTCATGGCTGCTGAGGAGAACGACTGGTAAACACGCAGATTTATTTTACTTAATTTTAGCCTATAGAGGGCTATGATGTTGATAGTGAATAAAAATTCCGTCTCATTGGAAGTAAGTTGAATGCAAAAACAATTTATTTTGCCTGCAGTCTCCCGTATCTAAAAAAATATATTTGCACCATTACGGAGATGCAGTGGAATTGTAGCCCTCTCCTGAAAATATCAGATTAAAAAAAATTGGAGAGGGCTACATTATTGCAGCTATCTCTACCTCTGATTTCGATTATACTACGAAACTGTGTACAAATTTTCATACTTAAATTTAAGATTTTTAAATTTGATTATTCAACTTAGCATTACAGCATATCATAGCATTAAAACGTTGTATTTATAACTCAGCAGTGCCAAAGAATTAGCTTTTCTGATCTCTTCCTTTGTCTGTTGAAGCCATCATCATTAACGTTTCACATTTTTATTTTCTCCAGAACTACATGTCAATTTTAAACAAACCTGCCAAAAAGCGTTTCTAGGTAAAGGGGATTCAAGTTTGTTCAAATGGAGGGTCATAGCTTCTTTCAAGAGTAGATAATAGAAATAATGAAAACGACTTGTATTTGGGTAATATAAAAGCTACTTCTCAAGAACCACTGGACCAGAAAATATGAAAACCTATGTGTTAGCTTCCTTACATTCAATACATTGTATAATAAATAATTTCCCATTAAAGAAGAGTGGGGACTGAAGAACGGCAAATGCATTCAATTTTTATATATGATGGGGCCACAATTGGGGATCAAAGATTTACATGATGATAGATAGGAAATATGCAAAACCGACATGGATGTGATCATAAAACTTTTAAATAAATTTGATTGCAAGAATTCAAAGGTAGTGTAGAATGATTTATGTTTCAAATCATGACACAAAGGGTAGAGTGGGGCTCAATATGAGATTAAAGTTTCCATGAGTGTGTATATATATATATATATATATATATATATATATATATATATATATATATATATATATATATATATATATATATATATATATATATATATATATATATGTATATGTATTCTAGAAAAAAGTGTTTTAAAATTTTAAAATTAACTTTTCAAGAACAAAAGGGCCATGATTAGTGATATTAATCTGAATATTCTGGTTTGTGTAGAATGGGGTCACAATGGGGATGGAAGTTTGCTTGCAAATGCATAAGGAAAATGTTAACAAATTTCGAGAACAGCGTGTTTGGACTTTTGATCATAATTAACTGATAGTTATCTTCATAATTCATTCTGAAATGAAATCTTTGAGGTACTAATTGTTAAAAACATTCTTTAAAAAACACAAGGCTATCCTAATTTTTGGATCAAATATCACCTTATGCCTGTTTACTTCTTATGCAGAACAGCTTGGCCATATTGGTCATAATTATACAGAAGCATACCTAGGATGTGTTGATTCATGTGAGGTTATAAGTTGGGTTTTGCCATGATTCTTTGGGGCAAAGGTGGAGCCACAATATGGAATAAGTAATTTCCATGACATTAAAAATAGAATTTTTATGCCCCGCTATGACTGGGTACATAGTTTTTATCATGTCCGTTTTCCGTCCTTCTGTATGTCCTTCAGTCACGCTTTGTTAAGCTCAGTTTTAAAGAAACCATTTAAGATATTTTTATCAAATATTATTTGCTGATAAACACTGATTGCATCAAGATTTATTGACCATGACCTTTCCTCTGATGTATACCTCACTTTTCTTTAATTAGTGCTTAGCTCAATTTTAAAGAAACTATTTAAGATTCTGTTATCAAACTTCATATGCTGATACAAACTGATGAGAGCTATTTAACTGCATCAACATTTTTTTACCTTGACGTTGACTTCACTTTTCTTAAATTTACATTTTTCTCAGTTTCAAAAAAAGTATTCATGATGTTTTTATATGAGCATTTGCACTGATACATACTTTGGTGAGAATTTATCAACTTTATCCAATTTTGTTTTAATTTGACCTTCCCAGTGACCTTTGACTTTATTGATTATTGTCTATAAAACTGTTTCAAAGAAATTTCCATGATATTTTCATCAAACTATATACATTATTGCAATTTCTTACGTTGCATTACTAATGAGCCCTAGATGGGTCAATTATGTTGTATGGACATATTTCTAGTATAAAATCTTGTAGTGAGGAACCGGAGGGCCAATAAGACATAGGTGAGCTTTGTGTTCCAATGGGCATCTTGTAATATTTCATAGCTACTTTATTCTTCTCATCAGGAAATAAAGAAATACTTCAAAGAGTTCTGGAAAGCTGTACCAGACGAGGACAGAGATTGGTTAAGTGAGTCTCTGAATGATCGGGAATATGCTGTGGGTCTAGTTGAACTAAATGACAAATCAAAGGAAATGTTGGAATCAATGAAAAAGTCCATAGTCGAACTATTTACAGACGAGATCAATACAAAAACTGAAATGCCTTCTTCTTGGGCTTTAATGGAACAGTTATTATACGATGGAGCCTGGAAGGTTTTGTCCCTTGATGAAATTTGGAGACTCAACGTATCCCTTCCTCGTGAATACCAGATTAAAAATAATGAGGAAATGTCTACATTTTTAAAGTGTTTCCATGACAATGGCCTTCTTTTGTACTATGAAGAAGAGAAACTGAAGGAACATGTAGTACTTGACATTCAGTGGTTTGCTAAAGCATTCAGCAAGATTATTGCTGATGAAAACCATATCAACAAAGACTGCATAACTAGATTAATAAAAGAATGGAAATCCTTCAACAAAACGGGGGAACTTAAAGATAAAGTGATAGATGCACTATGGAAAGATGAACCTTCATACTTGAAAAACAAAAGTGAAATTATGTCATACATGGAGAAGCTTCAAATGCTGGTACCTTTGGAGTCTTTTGAGGCTGTATCAGAAGGTGGCATGTCATGGTATGTCCCATGTATGAACAAAAAACAGTTTAAAACTGACTTCTGCGAAGATAAATGGGAATGTTCCTCCATTTTGTGCTATCGGTTCACCTCTTTTGCCATGTTTGTGTTCTACAGACTGATAGCATACTGCATGAGTTTTTTAAGATGGAGTGTGTCAACAGATGAAGATAATGAAGGGAGTCTATGTCTTTATCAAACAGCAGCAGTGTTTGATCATAAAGAACATACTGTTGTTCTTGGCATTTGTAATGATGATATTCAGTTGCAAGTGTTACGAATCAGACCATTGACTGTAGATAAAGAGGTTTCAATTGAAATTGGAGACTCCATTGAAAATGCCATAGAAAAAATGACCAAAACATTTCTTAACAAAAGCATCAAAAAGTCATTTGAAAGAGGATACAAATGTCAGAACATTATTTGTTATAATAACGATATATCTTTTAACCTTGCAAGTGAACTCTCCGAAATCAACACTGAAAAAACTCAGTGCAAGTGTCAACTTCAGGAGAAACATGTGATAAAAGTACAGAACACTCTAGGGTTCTGGGAAAAGGTAGCTATTACGTATCATTATATCCCCCAGCAAACAATAATTGAAGGGATATATAGGAATCATCTTGTTTATCAGTCTGTTATGTCTGGGTTATATCTATGTAAAGAAAAAAACTATGAAGATCACACTAGAACAGAAATTGCTTACAATCTGAGATTATCATTATGAATTGATTTTTACAAAAGTCATTTGGGATCGTTAAAGGTCAGTGGCACAAAAAAACAGAAAGAGTTGTGTTCAGAAATGGAAAGATATTAGAAGTTCATACGAGGGTTGTTCGGAAAGTTCGTGGAATACTCTCATAACTTTTTTACTTAATATCATATATCCAAATTTGGTAGAAATGTTCCAACAATAAATTCAGTAGACCTGCATACAGGGTTTATACCTCTCAGTTGATTCGATACGCAAGAGCATGCTCTATTGCTCTACGTATGAACAATGTCTAAAACGAGGTAAATTATTGTAAATTACTGACAAACAAGTTGATGAAACAAGAATATCAACAGTCTCAGTTAAAACACAATCTATCATTATGTCAAATGCTGAATGACATTTTTCATACTAATTGTTAGACCATTATTTACACACTGAATTGTCGAAGGATTTTCCCGTTATTTCCCGATCATGACAAGGAGCACGCGATTGACCTGTCGCAGGGGTTGCTCACTCCTCCATGGCACCTGATCCCACCTCTGGTGTTTTAGTGGTCCGTGTTTGCATATATTTCATTCAAAAGACGTGTACTAAGTTTTTTTTCTTAAAATATCCTGATTTTTTTCAAACTTATTTAGAATTAAAAAAAATAGGAAAATCGGATGGCGGAGCAGGTCAAAATTTCGTAATTTACAATGAATATTCCAAATAATACCTGTAGTCATATCCTCTGTGAATGAGGCAAAACTGGAAAAATCCAAGACGTTCAAATAAAGAATTGTTACATCGTTTCATATTTCCAAATAATAAATTAATATTTTGCTTCGTTGTAAAGAAATCAATGAAATATGGTGATAACGAACAATATTCAAGCTCAAAGTCCATTTAAACAATACACACGGACCTCCAAAAACACTAGAGGTGGGATCAGGAGCCATGGAAGAGTGAGCATCCCATGCCGACCGGCCACACCAGCCGTGTGCTCCTTGTCATAATCGGGAAAAAGGGGAAAATCGTAGTCAGCATTTGACTACATGACAGGTTGTTTTTTGCTGACAAGAACATTGCATCGATCATCAAACTTGCGAAATGATGACTTCAAACGAGACTAGCGATATCCTTGTTTCATCAGATAGACAGTCATCATTAAAAATGGTAAAAATCGATGAAGTAGAATGTCATGGAGATGCAGTTAACGATGCAACTTGTGTTGTACTCTGGAAAACTTCGGCACAAAAAAGATTACAAAAATCTCTCAAAATGCTGGAGGAAGCAAAACATTGTCAAAAGCTAGCCATGCCTGAGTGTGTACATGGCACAGGCGGTATCTGAATGATAGAGACTCTGTATCATAAAGGGAAGGTTTGTGAGAAAACGGAATATCTGTAAAAATCTTATCAAAAACTTTAAAAACTTAGTAAGGTCTTGGTAAAAGTAAGGCACTTAACAGTTGTTGATCATGTAAATGCACAGTTGCACAGTAAAAAAAAAAAACATACATTGAGACAAACAAAATTATGCCACTGGAAAAATTGTTAGAAAAGTAAATTTGAAGTGATAGAGAGACGTTTTAATGAGTGGACTGGTATAGGGCCATACTGTGTGAAATGTATAGGGAGAGCTTTTTGTTTTAGAACCTGATGATTCTATATTTTTGACGTCACAAAGTTGTTGAGTTTGCCCCGTGGTTACAAAAAATGCTGAAATTTCGTAAAATGACCTCTACTAGATAACATGGAATAAAACTTCACACATTAACAAAATAAATATTTTTACATATGATAATGTGCTCATTTTAAACTTCTTGAAAATAGTTTTACGAAGATAGTTGTGGTCGCGAACATTCTGACCAACCCTCGTACTTAATATGCACAAAAATGTAAAATTGTGAATTATCTACAGGTGTGTCTTGACCTTAGCCTTAGGTTATTTGGTCAGGTTCAAGATCCTTTCCAGAAAAGAATGTTTAATTCCTGCCCATACTATATCTTGTAATGGAGAAAAACTTGAAGATCACATTTGATGCAAAGGTAACGCTACCCAAGAGTGTGATCTGGACACAGGGTCATTTGGTCAATGGTACTGAAAAAAGCACAGTTCTTACCCATTCCAAATGGAGAAATTAAGTAAGCTATACTTCATACTAAGATTTCTCATGGCCTAAGGATGTGTCATGATCTTGATTCTTTCTGAACAAACTATTTTTACCTCACCTCGACGGAGTCGAGATGAGTTTATGCTATACCCCAGGCGTCGGCGTCGGTGTCGGCGTCGGCGTTAGCGTCGGCGTCCCGGTTAAAGTTTTAGGAGCAAGTCCATTCCCAAGTAACTATAAGCCCTACCTGTACGAAACTTGCATGGATGATGCATCTAGAGATGGACTCTACCACACTTGCTTCGGATGCTTGATCTGACCTAGATTTTCCACATGAATGACCAGGTTAAAGATTTTGGAGCAGGTCTGTTCCCAAGTAACTATAAGCCCTACCTGGACCAAACTTGCATGGATGATGCATCTAGGGATGGACACTACCACACTTGCTTCGGATGCTGGATCTGACCTAGATTTTCCAGATGAGTGACCAGGTTAAAGTTTCTGGAGCAGGACCATTCCCAAGTAACTATAAGCCCTACCTGGACCAAACTTTCATGGGTGATGCATCTAGGGATGTACAGTAAATCACCTGCTTCGGATGCTGGATCTAACCTAGATTTTCCACATGAGTGAATTTTAGCCATATTTTAACCAAATTAGCATGGATGATGTATCAAGGGATGGATATTTCCAGACTTGCTTTGGAGTCTGAATCTGACCTACATTTTCCAGATGAGTGACCAAAATAATTTTTTGGAGTAATATGATGGCCTGTTATGATAAACTTTGTATAGATGGTGCATCTAAGGATGAAAACTTCCAGACTTGCCTTGGATTTTGGAACTGACCAAAATTTCCTTGAGTAGTAAACAGGTTAAGAGTTTTTGAGCAGGTCTATTTCCAAATAACTATAAGTCCTACTTAAATCAAACTTGCATGGATATTGATCTTTGGATGTACACTAACTGGAAAAAAAATATGATGTGAAATTTGCATTACTTGTAGATAATATTCGTCGAGGTGAGCTTCGTAATCTTTGATTACCTATGTTTAGGTAACTTGAGTCACTCAGACCTATTTCTATCTGTGTTTCTCCACCATTATGCATTGTCCGTTGTCTGTTGTTGGCTTTTGAACATTTACAGCCTTATATCATGACGACCTAAACCAGTTTTGGTACATTATATGTATGGGTAAGATGAAAAAAAGATACTGAAATTCTTGGTGTCTGCCTCCGAAAGGCAGAAGGGGTGAGCTCAAATCATACAAAATTAATGCAGGTTTACAGGGAGTAAAGATGGGGGAATTTTTGTGCACAGTCTCTGAGATGCCATTTGAGTTTGATAAATGAATAAAGTACTTGGAAAAAAAAATACTGGCGTTCAAGAAGTGAACCAAATACCAACCAAATAGTATCAAAGAAGCTGAATTCAATTTGTAATTGAAGAATCTCCATAGTTGTAACATCATACCATTCATTGATAAACTCCCCTTGAAAAACTTAATATTTTCAAAAGACCTGTATCCATTACTGTAAATCACTAAATTCTCGCGAGATATTCATTAACTCTTTATTAGCGAGACAAAATTTTCACAAATTGTGGTTATTGCTCTATATAATCTTAAGGAATATTAATATACTAATGAAATTTTCGCCAGCACGCAAGTCTCGCAAAATTACGCGAAAATAAAGTTCTCGCGAATAAAAGTGATTTACAGTATATAAGATATCAAACACGTCTCGGGGTTATTTTGTCGTACTTTGGTTCGATAAAGTTAACTATTGTGAAAAATAAACGTAAGAGCTGTAAATGTTTCTAAAACATTTTTTATTTTTGTTTTTAGATACCAATGTGAGCAGTATTATTTTTCTCCTTCAAGCAATCAAAAACTTCTGAACATAAAACGGTCCTCTTTCAATCCTTTCCTAGTCTCTTTCATCCTAATACTTTGCTTAACTTAAAGCAGAGTCCTCTAAGATGGTCACCAGCTCAATGATATCGAGTTTTCCTCATATTTTTTCACCTTTTCTGGAACTGTGGCAAATTAGTTCACCAAATACTGTTAAATTTCTCTTATTTGATAAAATTGAAGAATTGGGGAATGAAACATCATTCAATTTTGTATCATATGTAATTTAAAAAAAAAATACAAATTGTATTTGCTTTAGGTTTAGCTTTGCTAAATACATGTAGGATAATCTGTATAGAATTTATTCTTTGTTTCTTTTATGTGTCTGCTAAATTGGCTTCAACAGATTAACAAAGGGTATTTTTGTTTCAGAAAAAGGTGGATACTTCCAGCACTCTAGTGGCCTCTGGACAAGACCTTGAGGGTCGAACTAGATTTGCAAAACTTGGAATGGCAATGAACGACGTGTTAAATCAGGCATACAGAGATATTCTAGAATCAGAAGTACCCCCTTGTTATATTGAGAACAAGGTGAATTCCTTAACAAACAAAAAGAGAATGAATCTGAAGTTGAATCCAGATCAAGAAAACATTTTGAAAACAGCAAAAAATTCTGGATATAAGGAATTTGATATTTCATTATCATACAAGATGATAAGAAACATTTGTTCAACGATCCCTAAACCAACAAAAGGAAAATGGGGAGAAGAGCCAGCAGCAGGAGAGGTGACAGTGGGTGATGATATCGAGAGAATTAGGTTAATCCGAAACAGTTTGACTGCACATGTGAGTTCAGCCTCTACCTCTCAGACAGAATTTGATGATACCTGGTTGACGATGTCGGATATCTGCCAAAGATTGGAAATCTTCACCGGAAAGAAGTACTTTGATAACCTTATTGATATTAAAATATTGACCCTGAGAAAGGAAGATGAGGATGATATTATAAAAAATGTCAAAATTCAAGGAATTTTGGAGACAATCAAATCAAGTTTCCAAGAATTAGAAACAATAATCAAGCCTAATGAAGGTGCTACAAATTAGGAGTTCGTAGAATGCTGTTTAGAATACTTAACAACCATGTGTAACTTGAAATAGAATTCACAATCGAATCGGAATGATTTTATTCAAGGAATTTGACTCCATACATGTCCAAGAACGGATTCGATGTCGATATCGATAATATTATGTCGATATCGTATCGATATCGATCCTGATCAGCACTATTAAATGGGCCTACGTCGATGTCGTCGATATCGACGATACCATGACGATATCGTATCGATCCTTATTGTACAATTCATTTTCACAATGAGGTATAGCATAATTTACAAGGCCACAAGTGATGTCGAAATTGATTCACTATGGGCATAAATATGAAAATAAATTATGATGATAAAAAAGGGTAAGGGGTTGTTATTGTCTTCGATGAGGTTTAGAGTAAGATGTTGGGTTAGGGAGAAAGTTGTTAAATATGTTTTAACAATCATGATTCGATATCGATACGATATCGTCGATATCGACGATATCGACAGTAGGGTAAACTTATTAATCAGAAAGTAAATATGCACAAGTGTTGCATTAAGAAACACAGAAGTTATTGTCTTTGGATATGTTAAAAGTAAGGTTTTGTATTAGGGTGAAGGTTGGTAAAGTAATGTGTTTTAACGATCATGATTCGATATCGGTACGATATCGTTGATATCGATTGCAAGTACAATCTTCGTAAAGGTAAAGTATTTAAACATAAACACACATACAAAGTAACATGGACGGTACTTACCAAGGGTTGAGTAAACATGATATCGACACTACAGGGAAAGTTTTATAAAAGATAGTTTTCAAATAACTCACATGTTAAAAAAAACAATATTAAGGATGGAAACCATAATCTTTTGAACAATCATGATTCGATATTGGTACGATATCGTGGATATTGACAGTAAGGAAAACTTCTTAAAACAGAAAGTACTGTAATAAACACACAAAAATAGAGAAGCATTAAAGCAAACTATAAAAAGTAATATGTCGATATCGTAACTACATCGTGTCTTGGACATAGGAATTTGATATTAGGAACTTAGATTTGTTACCTTAATTATTTTAATGTTAAGAACAGTGGATTTCAAGAAAGTGGGAAATCACAAACCTTTAATGAAGATCATTTTCAAAATAAAGAGTATAAGGAGGTCAAATTTTTAAATACTTTACCTCAAAAGTTAAAGCTCATCATTACACTACTGTAATGATTTTCCCCTTAGATTCCAAAAAATCCCCTGACGTTTTCTCTTGTCTGTCCCTGACATTTTCCTGTCTCCCCTGACTTTCTCCTTTGATCCCCTGTCGTTGTCCCTGACTACCCTGTCTACTCCCTGACGTCCCCTGACTTTGCCCCTGTTATCACTGTCTAACCCCTGATGTCCCCTGACATACCCTGACGTCCCTGTCAACTCCTGGTGTCCCCTGACTAAGTCCCTGACCACTCTGCCAATCCCCTGTCGTTCGCTGACATTCATTTCGACCAGGAAAAAGGGTTAAAATATGTTTTTGTTGCTATTTACTTGTGAGAAATACGTTACTCTTGACAATTCTTTAGTTTTGTGAAAATATATATTTAGTCAATTGTTATTAGTTTGAATATCTTTAGTAATTTATTTCTTAATATTGTATTTGATTGTTTTAGTTTAGTACATGTAGCTTTTAGATAAGTTTTAAGGAGAATAAATGCAAAATACTTTGAAAAGAATGAATTACAAATTTATTGCATCTTGCCATGAATGGCAAGTAAATATAACTATATTTATTTATATGTTAATTTATTTATCAACATGTATTTATTTATTTATTTGTTTTAATTATTTATTGACAAATTTATTAATTCAATCTATTCATATATTTCTTTTTAGATATATTTTCCTTTTTGAATTATTAATTAATTGATTAATATTATATATTTATTTAGTTTTTAATTCATTTTATTTTAATTAAATAATTCTATTTTATTCAATTTATTTGTGAGTTTCGCATAAACAGTTGTAAGGTAAAACAAAATACTTCAAAGTATCTTTTAAGCATATTTACATTTCTTTTAATTCTTTCAATTTCATGATGGGTATCAAATAATTGTCTTATTACACACAATCTGAATTCGGAATTTGTTTTATTGCTTCTTTTACTTTGGTAAAAAAAAATAATAATAAAAAATGTTCCTCAGTTCCGAGCTGTTGATAGTTGACCAGTGACTCTGGGTACACAGACCAGACACCTATTGTTCTTTTGACTGACCACTACACACTGTTTATTCTGTGGCAGCACGACCGTATCCACTCTGCAGGTGTTATTTCTTTCACAACCGTGACAAGTTTTTGAAGAAATTTTTAGTTTACCAAACTAAATGGAACAATAAAACAAATTGCAGATTCAGATTGTGCGTAATGAGACGATGATTTTGATACCCATCATGAAATTAAAAGAATTAAAAGTAATTTGAATATGGTTAAAACATAGTCTGAACCAAATTTGTTTTACCCGGAGACTGTTTATGAATAACTACACAAATTGAATTAAATAAAATTAATCAATAAATTAAAATAAAGGAAATAAATAAAATAAAGTAAAATAAATAAATAATTTGAATAAATTAATTTATTTATTAAAAATTAAATAAAACAAAAATGTTAAAATAAATTTAATAGATAAAAAAAATAATAAATGAATGGAAAAATAAATAGATAAATAAACGGATAAAGAAATTAATAAAAAAAAATATACATCAATAAATTAAATTCATTTAAATTAATAAATTTACTAAAGATAATTCAAACAAATAATTGGTTACAAAATCAATATTTTTATTTATTTATTTTTTTACTTATTTATTTGTATATTTTTTTTATTTATTTATTTTTTATATATCTGTTTATTTATTTATTTAATCTAATCATTTTTCTTTTCTTTTGAATATTTATTTTATTCAATTATTAGTTAATTAATTAATTAATGTTATTTCTTTCTTTCTTTATTTTGTTAGTTCATTTTATCTTAATTAACTATTTTTTCTCAATTCCTATTTATTTGTGTTATTCCCAATAAACAGTCTTATGGAAAAACAAACGATGCTTCAAACTATTTTTAAGCATATCTATATTTCTTTTAATTCTTTCAATTTTATGATGGGTATCAAAATAATCGTCTTATTACACACAATCGGAATTCGGAATTCGTTTTATTGCTTCTTTTGCTTTGTTACAAAAAATAGAAATGTTCCTCAAAGACTGTCTCGGTTGTGAAAAAAATTCTGAGCTGTTGATTGTTTACCAGTGACTCTGGGTACACAGACCAGACACCTATTGTTCTTTTGACTGACCACTATACACTGTTTATTCTGTGGCAGCATGACCGTATCCACTCTGCAGGTGTTATTTCTTTCACAACCGTGACAAGTTTTTGAGGAAATTTTTATTTTACCAAAGTAAAAGGGAACAATAAAACAAATTGCAGATTCAGATTGTGCGTAATGAGACGATGATTTTGATACCCATCATGAAATTAAAAGAATTAAAAGTAATTTGAATATGCTTAAAAAATAGTTTGAAGCATAATTTATTTTACCCGGACACTGTATATGAAGAACTACACAAAATGAATTAAATTTAATCAATAAATTAAAATAATTGAATTGAATAAAATAAAATAAATAAATAAAAATTTTAAATAAATCCATTAGTTTATTTATTTTTAAATTAAAAAAATAAGTAAAAATAAATTAAATAGATAGATTGAATAAAAAAATAAATATATAAATGGAAAAAAAGAATAGATAAATAAGCAGACAAATTGATAAATAAACAGGTACATTTATTAATAAAATCAATAAACAAATAAATAAATAGATAAAGAGATAGATAAATAAATAAATAAAAATATATTTACATGCCATTCGTGCTACACAAGACGCAATAAATTAGTAATTTATATATTATTTTAAAGTAACGGCATTTATTCTTATTAAGATTTATTTGTAAAGCTACCAAACAATCAATAAAATAATATTTTGAAAGAATTTGCTAAAGATACTTCAAACAGAAAAAACTAATGATAAAATCTACATTTTCACAAAAATTGAAAATTGCTAGGAGTAAGGCATCGATTTTCTCACAAGTAAATAGCAACAAAAACATATTTAAACCCTTTTTCCTGGTCAAAATGAATGTCAGCGGACGACAGGGGATTGGCAGGATGGTCAGGGACTTAGTCAGGGGACATCAGGGAGTTTACAGGGACGTCAGGGAATGTCAGGGGACATCAGGGGTTAGACAGTGATAACAGGGGCAAAGTCAGGGGACGTTAGGGAGTAGACAGGGTAGTCAGGGACAACGACAGGGGATCATAGGAGAAAGTCAGGGGGAGACAGGAAAATGTCAGGGACAGACAGGGGAATGTCAGGGTTTTTTTTTTTTTTTTGGAATCTAAGGGGAAAATCATTACAGTAGTGTTAGATAAATTCAAACTTTATTGGTTATTTCGATTTGTTTCTAGATTGGTAATTTCATGTTTTAAATGATTGTATCTCAATTCTCTATGTATGAAAGTAGTTGCAGACCTCAACTTGTTTGAAAGTGGCCTCCATATAACTTATTATCTAATGCATAATTACTTTTTTCAAAAACGTATTTGCAATCCCACTTTACCACTTGTGTCAATGCTTTTTGATTATTATGTTTATTTATTACACTAAATTTCCATTAAGATTAATATAATTTTATATGTGTACTAAATATCTGTAGTGAGCAACGTTGAGCTTTACATTAATAAAGTTCTCACTGTAAAATAAAAAGTAAAATTTTAACTATCCTGAATGATTGGAGTGCGTAATCACTTTGAAGGCATATCTGTCTTGAAATCAACATTCAAATCAATGCTGCATTGTTTTCACCTAGTATGTCATAATGTAGATAAGTAAAGATATATCAAAAATCAACAAACAAATATTTTTGTTAACAAGGTCATTAGAAGAACTTTAGAATTTACAAAATGCTAACTTT